TTTACTTATATATTCTACCGAATTGGTAATTTCGTTGCAGGGGTAGAACTTAATCTTCGTTGCATTAAACAAGGATGGAAATCAAATACCAATTCTATCAGAAATTTATTCCGAGTTAAGTGAACTGGAACTTGCTGACGAAGTAGATACACAATTTAACTCTCGTTTTAAATCCGCTCGCGAAACTGGACGAGAGTACTGTTAACATTTGCTATTAATATTAATTAATAACTTTCGTGCATCGATGCTCGAACTTCTGAATTTGGATTATCATAAAATGGCAATTATTTAAGGTAAAAGAGTTACAGCCGAGAGTGTGAATATTTCCCTCCTCGCGCAGAAAGCTACACTGTGCGTATATTGTAAGAACGTAGAAACTATCAGTATTATATCTGACAACTGAATTTAATTCTCACAAATGTTAATGCGAGAAACACAAATCTTCTTAGAGATAGACATTTGTAAAGGAAGTGGATGTCTTTGGAACGAGAAAAAAAATATTAAAAAGATACGTTTTATAGTGCAATGAAAATTTTGACAATCGCAATTCTATTAGATTGAAGAATTTCTTTCCTGAAAACATTCTAGCTTCGCTTCCGAACGCTTTCCGATATTACCTACAGCTTCGGAAATATTCTTGTCACGTTTCACACATCCCACCCCGTATATTTCAATATCACCTCATCACCGGAAAGTTCCTTACCAAAATGAAAAAAAAAAAAAAAAAAAGAAAGGAGGAGTTCTCGACGCGATGAAATCCCGCTAAATCGCTGAGCAGTGGAAAACAAGGAACTTTGGCGAGAACGATTATTTCAACGGGGCCGAAAAAGAAATTCTCCCGATGCTAATCTGGCGAAATTTCGAGGGTTCCAACTTCAATTAGGTTTAGCACCGTAAAAATACTCGGCTCGTCGGAGGTTAGGGTTGCTCCACTCTCTCTCTCTCTCTCTCTCTCTTCTTGCCGCCGTGCCGTTTCCGCAGGAAGTAATTTCGACTCTTTAATGAAATTTTAAAATTTCCCGCCGACTTCGGATAATACCGGCAAACGGTATATTCGCTTTCGTCGGCCAACGCTGTTTAATTCTCACGAAATTTCAGCCGGATTGCCGAAACAGCACTGTTAATATTAAATTTCTCTCGCGGCAAAATCGAAACTTTTTAATCGGTGTTAATTGAACACTTTGTCCGAAAAGGAAGAGTAAAATTTAATATTTAACTATAATTTAAAAAAAAAAAAA